GCAAACCCTAAACCCTAAACCCTAAACCCTAAACCCTAAACCCTACTCCGTTGTTTATACCTGAGGGTTTAGCGGGCGGAGTTCGCCGCTTCTTTCCAAGCCAAGCGCATCCGCTTGTGCGTAGCATTTTTGTTTGCAGCGTAATGAGAGTGGGGGTTTAGGGTTTAGGGTTTAGGGTTTAGGGTTTAGGGTTTGGGGTTCAGGGATTGACGGATTGAAGCTCCTTAATAGCTGCAGCGCCCCTGAGGTGCTGCTCGCAAATGAAGCAGCATTAAACCGCCGCGATGCTGATGGGCAGTCTGCATATTCTCCAGAAGAAATCATAACTGGCCAGGTCTAGCTGCAAACCCTAAATCCTAAACCCTAAACCCTAAACCCTAATGGGACCCTTACAAGGCCCCTCGGACGCCGAGCCTGCCCGCCAACTTCATTCGCAACAGCTCCCCAGCCTCCTGAGCTGCAAATACACTCACAATGTTTATTGGGGGCATAGGCATTATTTAGGGTTTAGGGTTTAGGGTTTAGGGTTTGCGGTTGCTGCTCTGGACGCGGCCACCCAAAGCTCGCTGAGATCCTGGCCTAAGTTCCTAAGCATGGATACACGTTACTTACGGTTAAGGGTTTAGGGTTTATGGTTTAGGGTTTAGGGTTTGGGCGCTCAGGTGATAGTGCCGGGGACACACAATATGACGGGTTACTGGAGTTTAGCGAAGTCTGCTCGGTTTTATCCAAACCCATTCCTGGTGAAGGTGAGTTAGGGTTTAGGGTTTAGGGTTTAGGGTTTAGGGTTTAGTATGGTTCCATAACGAATTTTAGTAGGGTTTACTCGGGTTTGCTAGGCCCTAGTGGGATTTAGGGTTTAGGATTTAGGGTTTAGGGTTTAGGGTTTAGGGTTTGGAGGTATGTGTATGGGTGCTTCTGCAGTTGTGTCGGAGTGTATGGGCAGAGAACCCTAACTTCCTGCTGCTGGCTGAGGCATCTGCTGCTGTAGATCAGGGTTTAGGGTTTGGGGTTTGCAGTGCTTGTGGGGTTTCGTCTAATCAACGGTCTCGCTTTTGCCCCTCTTGCCGCGCCGCTCTTCCGGGGTCAGCCTAAACCCTAAACCCTAAACCCTAAACCCTAAACCCTAGGCTCTGCTTCACCTTGTAGGGGGGTTGGGGATGAGGCGCCCACAGCGGCCTGTTCAAAGCAGCGACTCAGAACACGAAGGCTTACGCCATAGAGTTTAGGGTTTAGGGTTTAGGGTTTAGGGTTTAGGGTTTAGGGTTTGGGGTTTGAATATCTGCAGGAAGCTCGCCTCACAGCGGGCAGACACCACAGCGGCTCTTTTATCTCGGAGTGGTTTGCTGCCGGTGGTGCAGCACGTTGCGTCTTTAGTTCCTTCTGTGCTAAGTACGCTTAGGGTTTAGGGTTTAGGGTTTAGGGTTTAGGGTTTAGGTATAGAATGGAGGAGGGGTTTCTGCTGGGGAAGACAGACTCAGAGAGATCCGAAGACACCGCGAATGCGCCTAACGGCATAAAAAAGGGTTTAGCCCTTAAGATGTTCGCATTCTAAACTTAAGGTTTTATGGTTTAGGGTTTAGGGTTTAGGGTTTCGGCTGTACAGGCGGGCATGTCTCTGTGGCTTCTCTCTTCAAGACCCTGGGCAAACAACACTCAGCACTGCCGCCTGGAGGAACCTTGCTTCAGGCACGCTAGGGTTTAGGGTTTAGGGTTTAGGGTTTAGGGTTTGTGTGTGGCCTTGTAGGAGGCTTGGGGGATTTGATTGTAGAGGATTTAATAATTAGTGTTTAGGGTTTAGTGTTTAGGGTTTGTGTGGGGCCCTGTTCGACGTTGAGAGGGTTTGCTGGTGAATGATTCAGGGTTTAGGGTTTAGGGTTTAGGGTTTAGGGTTTGCGTTCAGCTTTCATGCGGGCCAGCGTCTCCTCTGCCTCTGCTGTCATACAAGAAAGCCGCGTGGGCATATCAAGACCTTCTATGTTTCCTTCCGGATTCCTTCGTGACAGGTATCAAACCCTAAACCCTAAACCCTAAACCCTAATTCTTAAGCAGGAGTGTGTAAGGGCTTCGCAGTCTGCGAACCCTTGGCTTTCGCTGGGGATTTGTGCAGTCCCTAAACCCTAAACCCTGCCCCCCTCGGCACAAGAGTAGGCCGGCTAAGGTAACGAATTAGGGTTTAGGGTTTAGGGTTTAGGGTTTAAGATGATTGGTGTGCAGTTGCTGGAGAGGTAGAAGGAATGGTATTCAGGATGGGAGTTCCGAACTTCTTTGACCCGAATGAACGCTGTAAACCCTCACGACCCCAAACCCTAACCCTAAACCCTAAACCCTAAACCCTAAACCCTAAACCCTTAGATCTATCCAAAGTTATCAAGGTGCCGCTGGGATAACGATGCTACAGACATTTGAGGGTTGTTAGCTGCTGCGCTCTATTTGCTGTTGCAATCGGGTTTAGGGTTTAGGGTTTAGGGTTTAGGGTTTGCTCTTGTGTGGGTTCATTGTGCAGCGGACGGCAGTGGCAGGGTGTGCACGCTAAACCCTAAACCCCCGACAAGAAAGAAGTTATTGCAGGCCTCTCTTTCTCTCATCCCTCTCCCTTGCAGATAGGGTTTAAGGTTTAGGGTTTAGGGTTTAGGGTTTAGTCGCGGTGTGCTGTGCCTGCAGACCCAAGGGAACGGCGCCTACCCATGTAGCAGTGCGTCTGCTGATCCGTGTTGCTGTGAGGGTTAAGGGTTTAGGGTTTAGGGTTTGGGACCGTGGAAGCGTTGCTTAGGGTTTAGGACTTAGGGTTTAGGGTTTAGGGTTTAGGGTTTGCTGCAGAGCTAAAGCTATTGGAGCGCTTCCTCGGGCCTCATGGCTTTGAGCGTATTACCCAACTGCCTGACAGAGAGACAGAATTCTTGCAAACCCTCGGAGCCTCAGCGGGTGTGTAAACCCTAAACCCTCATGCAAACCCTAAACCCTCATGAAGTTCTTTTATCGTTTCGTTTCCGTTCTAGGGTTTATGGTTTACGGTTTAGGGATTGCTAGTAGGGTTTATGGTTTACAGGACCTGTGTTTCTTTGGTTGCTAACGGGTTAAAGTATAGGGTTTAGGGTTTTAGGGTTTAGGGTCTTAGGGTTTTAGGGTTTAAGGTTTAGGGTTTGTGTTTATAGCGTGTGGTTTAGGGTTTGTGCTTGTGCCGTCTTTTGTGTTTTGTATTATGCATATGAAGGTTTGTAGTTTGTGTCTTAGGGTTGGTAATTTAGGGTTTAGGGTTTAGGGTTTAGGGTTTGTGCAGGTCAATTATCTTCTTTAGCTGCTCGCTACGGGAGGCTGCGAGAGCTCCGCAGCAAAGAGAAGTGTTTGCTGCGAGGCGTTTTAATCCCTTTAGAGGTGCTTCAGCCAGACGGCTGCCCTCTGAGCTGTCTGTACACCCGGCAGCAGCAGCAGCAGCAGCAACAGCAGCAGCAGCAGCAGCAACGCAAAAGCGCGACGAGAACCACCACAAAAGTACCGCCGCAGCAACAGCAGCACCATCACCAGCAGCAGCACCAACAGCAGCAGCACCAGCAGCAGCAGCACAGACACAACCACAAAATGCAGCAGCAGCAGCAGCAGCAGCAGCAGCACAAGCTTCAGCAACAGGGGTCGCTCCGCTCTAAGAAGCCGCACCGGTCGTCAGAGACAGCAGGAGCAGCAGCGGCAACAGCAACTGCTGCTGCAGCTGCTGCTGCAGCACCGAGCAGCAGCAAGAGAGTGAGCAGCATTCTCAGTTTCTTTGCTTCCTCCCCACACTCGCGAGCGCGGCGCAGCCGCCACCGCCGCCGGACCAGCAGCAGCAGCAGCAGCAGTAGCAGCAGCAGCAACAGCAGCAGCTGCAGCAGCTCCCCTATAGGTACAAGCGACCCTTCTAGCATGCCAACAGCTGTCTCCGTGTGGGGTAGCGACGGCAGCAACTCAGACTGGGACTCCTGCAGCACGAGCACCAGCAGCGAAGACCTGCTGCTGCAGCAGCAGCAACAGCAGCAGCAGCAGCAGCAAAAAGCTGTAGAAGGCCCAGTTGTTGCTTTTGCAAGAGTTGATAGAGATCTGCTGCTAGAACAGGCAGGCTTCTTAGCCAGGAGAGTCTTCACACATGAGAACCAAAGGCTAGACAATCTGCTGCTGCTGCGGCAGCAGCAGCAGCAGCAGCAGCAGGTGCTGCAGCAAGAGCCGCAGCAGCAGGAGCAGCAGCAGCAGGTGCTTCAGCAGCAACAACAGCAGGAGGAGGAGCAGCAGCAGGTGTTGGCGCAGCAGCAGTTGTTGCTGCAGCAAGTTCAAGAGCAGCAGCAGGATGTGATGCTGCTGCAGGGCAGGCATGTCTTGTGTCTCTTTGTTATAAACCTGACCGCCCAAACAATTTGCGATAAGCGGCTGCTGCTGCAGCCCCTCGCCCCCTTCTTCCAAAGGCTGCCTCTTAGCGAACAGCAAACTTTGTGCTGCGGAAGAACGAGGCAGACAAGTCGTGCTGCAGCTGCTTCAGCACTAGCAGCAGCAGCAGCAGCAGCAGCAGCAGCAGCGGGGAGTGGTGTCTGGGCAGCAACATTATGCCTAATGTGATGCCTCTGCAGGAGCTGCTCGAGCAGCCACTTGCACTTCCTCCTTTGAAGCCGTTCTCTTCTTTACACCGAGCTTTCTGTCTCCTTCCTATATGCGATATGAGGCCCCCTCTATATTGTTTGATGCCAGCAGGGATGCTGCAGCAGCAGCAGCAAGACGCTGCAGCAGGAGCAGCAGCGCTAGCAGCAGTTCAAGCAGCACATGGCTTGAGACGCAAAGCTAACGATATATTTGCTGCTGCTTGTCTTCGCAAGCTGCAAATCAAGGAACAGCCTCCCTCTTTCCTGTCTCCCCTCCCTGTTGCTGCTGCTGCTGCTGCTGCTGCTGCTGCTGCTGCTGCTGCACCAGCAGCAGCAGTTGTTTCTCCCTCGGCTGGAGAAGCAGCAGCAGCGTCAGGCGGCAGCTATTCTTTCGCATTCAACAGTCAGAGAGAGTTTGCTGCTGCTTCTGCTGCTGCTGCTGCTGCTGCTGC